AAATTTCAAGCAAATTTCTGGACTGTGAGCAAAGAGTTGTAAAATAGGACTAAAACAATGCCCAATTTAGTACCCATTTGGGTGGGTTTGGATTGGGTACAAATATAATAGGACTAATGGGAAGAAAATTGGTTTGGATTGGGTACAAATAAAATAGGACTACCATTCTGAGAAGAAGATTTTCTGAGCTTTTCTTGGAGCATACAAGTTTCCTCCAACCTGACTCAGTGATTTTCATCCATTGATGACTGCAATAGTAAAGGCAGAGACCATCGAGTGTGAATCGAATTTAAGTTTTAGAGGAGAGATTGAGAGATATCATGCGAATAAAGTTATAATTTAGGTTTGTACAAGTTGACTGTCCTAGCAAATTCTATTATCACCACAGCATAGAGTTTATTCCCAATTAATAATCTATAAAGTGGAACGGAATGTTAACTAAAATCAATGCAGATACCCCAGTAAGTAAAGATTAGTAGCTTACCGGTTGAGGAATCAGATATCCAAAGAACAGGCTTAACATTGTGTAGAAGGCTGACTGTAAAATTGCAGCCACTGGAAAGGCCGATGTCAATGCAACAAACAGCATTCCAAGATAAGTGAAGTACAGAAATGTACAAAACATGGCATAAAAGTACCAGAAAACCTTACAAGCTGACCAATAATACCCAATCATTGAATATGAAATGATCACAAATGCAATCGCTTGGACTAGAAGATACGGTACCTCGACCATGACCTGCAAAATTAGCACGTGCATTTAAATTTGGACAACGTGGATTTGGTTAGCTCTAGTATTCGATTGAAAAAATTATAGTGCAATAAGCTAGCATTCTGGAGGACAAGACAGTGATAAAGAAGCCCGCTGCATAAAGCATTATTGATTCTCAGAAGCTCTACAAAAAATGCCAAAAACATTGAAATAGCTCAACTGATGCTTCCAAGCTTTTGGTACTAAGAGGTTAAAACTTTGATCCCATTTTGAGAAAATCAAGTATTTAAGAAATTTATACCTGAGCAAGTGCATAAGCCCACAAACCATACATCTAGATCGCTCCGTTGCGACATATGGTAAAACTGATGAGGAATTATTTATGCCCAAGAAGATAGTAGCAGAGAATATTGAACCAAGTGCATTTATGTTAGACATGTACAGAAATCAATCCAGTTAAATAATAATGGAATCCCAGATCTAATAATGTAGTAATTAGAGTTCAAATGAATCCTAGAACTGCGTTTGATGGGTGGTTTTTTTTTTTTTTTTTTTTTTTTGTCTATGAAATACATAATGCATACTTGAAAAGTAACACAATGCATACTTGAAAAGAAGAAAAAAAAAAATGTCCGTGAAACGCATTGACACCCTCATTCAATTTGATTTACTTACATTTTCCTCCCTTGATCCCAAAACAGTATCCCAAAAAACAAAGATGCAATAAGCATGTACGTGAAATGCAGCAAGTTGTATGAAGGACTTCTCCAATAAGACAGGTGCTGTTTCCAGAGGCAGGATTTGAACTGTCCCCAACCATTTTGTGAAAAGCGAGATGCAAAATACAATTCTTTTGAACCAGGAGGTGGAGTACTCCACCTATTTACATGCTCTTTATTGTTCCTACAATCACAATGAATGAAAATGAATCACAAAAATGAAAATTGTTATCATAAAACAATCATTATTGAATCACAGCAAGCAAGTTTGTAATGAACATCCTAACTCAAAAGAGAAAGAAGTGGTGAGCAGTTGAACTCACTGATACAAGACACAGTTCTTATAAACTTGGGTGAAATCAACGCAGAGTTGAGCTTCGGCTGATCTAGAAGTGATCTCTAACATCCATGTTGCTGGATTGTAATTATTTCTGATCTTTTGCACCCCTGAGATAGCCTATTAGAGAGAAATGGTTGTAATTAATATGATCAATACTTCAATTTCTGCTCTTTTATGTATTCTTGTAGCAAACTGACCTCAAAATATTCTATGACACTGCTTGAATGCTGACCCAATGGTCCAGAGTAAATAACCTGTCCGCCGGCTTTCAACAGAATTAACTACAATGTAAAGGAGGCATTAGACTTAATTTATCTACATTGAATAAAAAATATGGAATTAGATTAGAAGACCATTTTTGAAAAGTGGATGTTCTCTAGAAACTAATGTTAAAAATGTCCTGCTTATTCAAAAAGAAACAAAATGTAACAGTAATGTAATGCAATAGACAGAATGACTCAATACTTCAAACGCTTCAAATCAGGAGGTATGATAGGTCTTGAAGCTTGTCACATTAATGTATCATTTTCTGAGTCAAACTTACACTATTGAGTTAAAAAATGCTTTAGTTGCAATCAAACAGCTTAAAACTTGCATAATTAATTCCATTTCAGCATCCAAATTGACATTACGTTCCAAGCTCTCTCTTAAAATAATTCATTATTTGTTTTCCTACCTCACCAAATGCTTCAAAAATGTCAATGCTTGGTTGGTGAATGGTGCAAACAATTGTTCTTCCTGTTTCAGCCACGTTCTTCACAGCTCGCATAACAATTGCAGCTGCTCTTGCATCCAATCCAGTTGTAGGCTCATCCATGAAAATAATAGAGGGGTTAGCAACAAGCTCCAAGTCTATTGTAAGACGCTTTCTCTGCTCAGTTGATAAACCACTAACACCAGGCATGCCAACCAAGCAATCTTTGATTTCATAAAACTCAATGATCTCAAGGACTTCTTTCGCAAATGCCTGCAAAGATGTGCAGCACCAACAGAAGTAAAATAATGTTTAAACTATTGTTGTAGAATTAAAGAGTAAATTAAACTTCCTTATATATAGGTCATACAAATTTAGTTTTTGAATTAATTTCAGGACACAGATGCAGCCAAGCAGAATAAACCACTGATTCTTCAACTGTAATTTGTGGAGAATGTATGTCGGTTTGCTCACAGTAACCCGAAATCCTTGCAAATGTCACCTGAACCTTAGGAAACCCTCCAATTCTAATATCTCCTTCAATAGTGCCACTAGTTTTTCTTCCAGCAAGAACATCCATAAGAGTTGTTTTCACAACTCCACTGACACCCATCAATGCTGTAAGAACACCAGGCCTAAATGCACCTGTAATATCACGAAGTTTTTTCTGAGTGAACCCCCTTTCTCTCACTGCCTGAAATCAAAGAAAAATGACAGAATTAACCAATGTAATTTGATCCAATTAGTTCTAAATATTTAACAGGTACATAAGATTTATAAGAGATTTGTTTATATGATTACATCAGGGGTGTCAACATTGTATTGCACATCCTGAAACACCAGAGTTAGGGGTTCAAAAGGTAAAACCACTTGACCTGTAAAATAAGATTACCCACCCTTATTAAGTGAAACAGGAATAAACTTATAAGACGATAAATAAAGGAAAAGAATCATCTGAAGCAATGGTTCCAATAATTATAAGAGAATAAGAAAAATCTAAAAACACACAACCTTTAAGAGATTTTGTAGTGGTGTTTGTTGGAATATGGAATATTGTATATTTAATTTAGGAATTTAATTTTAGGATTTGATTGTGTAATTATTTAATTCCTTTTTCCCATGTATCTTATATTGATTATATATAGACATGATCTCACCCAAATTAGGATAAGCCAATATTTTACAACTGTCTTCTTAGTATCAAAGCCAAACCCTAGCCACCCACCCAAACCCTAGCCACCCACCACCCTTGTCTTCTGTTGCTGGTAGCCCTAAACCACCTACCTAGCCACCCGACAGCCCTTCTTCTTCCCTCCACCCAGCCAAAAGTTTGCCTCTTTCTTCTCAGCCCCTCGGCAGTCCCTTATCCTCACTGCCGCAGCTTCCTTAAGTGCCGACTAGACCCTCCCTATAGCATTTCATAGGGATGAGATAGTCAAAAAAAAATTTCTCTCTCTCTCTCTCTCTCTCTAAGTTTTTCTCTCTTAGGGTTTTTTTTTAGAGTGTGCCGTTTGAGAGGGGAAGGGGGGTTCCAGCCTCCCTCCGGCCACCTCCCTCCCCTCTCCCCTCTTTTCTCTTCTATTTTCTGCAAAATAATCTTTGGGAGCTCTGTCTTCCCAATCTCTCCCTCTTTTTGAGGTGCTTCTTCCCCTTCGGGTAGTTTTTTTGAGTTCCCTCCTCCCCCTTCGTGCCAAAGCACGATCTGCTGTTTCTCGTCGCCGGTTCTATAACCCTTCGCCATTTCTCGCCGCAGCAGCCACCATCCCCCCGCCACGAACATCCTCCACCAGATCTACTAACTCCCTCCCTTCCTCCAGATCTGCTAACTCCCTCCCTTCCTCCAGATCTATACCACCATTCGCCTTCTCTCGCCGCTGAAGCCACCATCTCTACGCCGCGGCCATCCTCCACCAGATCTGATAGCTTCCACCCTCCAGCTCGACGGCTTCGGTTTTGCTTTTGTTTTGAGCTTTATTTTATTTTTACTTTTTTCAGTTTGTTTGTTTTTTCAGTTTGTGTTTTGGACTCCATGAATGTGTTCATTGGTAGCTTACCCTCTCTGGGGTGAATGCTTTTGTCGTGTCTCTGACTATCCCTAGTGTTGATCTCTTATGATTGCTTCTGCATTGCAGTACGGGTTAGGATTGTGTTTTGATCATGTCTTTGATGCTATTTTAGCTTTACCTATGTGCTTGTTTTCTCATTTTTCCTTTGATTAGTGTAAGCTCTATCTGGTTTGGCATGGAGTCTATTTGTAAGTGCCGATTGGCTTCTCCTTAATAGATTTTACCACGTTCAAAAAAAGTACCGTTGGTCATGCAAATTCGGGAATAACTGTGAATAGGAGGTTTGTATATGCCAAAACAAATTACCCATAATTGCAGGTACTGTTATGAAAATTTGGAGGTGCAAACAAGTTTAGTACTATACAATGTGAAAAGACTTATGCGATACAAATAAAATAACATATACATATAATTTGTATAGAATGATATGACAGTATGTTAAATCTCACTTTAATATTTTTTTTCCATGATAAAAAGGGGGGGGGTGGAAAGAAAAGAAAATATATATATATATATATATTTATATATATAAGATAAAGAGGGTTTGGGCGGTGGAAAATGTGATGATGGTTTTGAGTGGAGAATATTTTAGAATAGAAAAGGTTATATAATATATTTCTCTCTCCAATGTCCCCAAAAGCTGTCCGAGCATGCTTTTATTTCTATTAACCAAGCTTGGGTCCTCATCCTTTGGCAATACCCTTGGAACATGCTCTGTCGGAGGAACTTCAAAATCCATCTTAGATGGCCTTTGATTGCCATCCCTCCTTGACAAATTGGATGGCTTTCTCTCACTCTGGTTTGCTGTGACACCACCACTGCTACTACCTTCCACGGCTGAATCCTTCTTCTTTGCATTATTTGTAGCCTCGGCAGCATCTTTCTCAGCTTCGATCTCAGCAACGATGGCGTCGATTTCCTCTTCTTCAAGTTGCCGCAAGCCATGCTCCTTCGTCATCACAGCAACTTCAATGTTCTTTCCCCCACTCTCAACAACTTCGAGCAAGGCGCGAATTGCAAGTTTGACAGTTTCTTGCCCAGAAGTTTCTTTATAATTTTTCTCCAAAAAATCTCGCATTGAATTAGAGTTTCTCCCAGTTGCATTAGCTTTCCATGCAGAAAAAGTACCTGATGGATCTGTCTGATATAGCGATGGCACACCAGTGTGAGGGTCAAAGCCCACAATCAAAGTTGAAAGAACAAACGGTCTGCCACCACTTTGTGTGTACTTCTGTTGAAGACCATCAGAGGATGGACCTTTGCTGGCACGCAGTGGCACTGCTTCTTGAATGATCACAGCCTCAAGAGCAAAGAGAGGCTGCTTTGAAAGTTGCAGCACAAACATATGGTGACGGAGGTTCTTGAGAGAATCGTAACTCCAACTGTTGCGAGACGACGACTGAGATTCGAAGAACGACGAGAACGCATCCATTTTTCTTGAGAGAGATCGATCGATTGATTCGATTACAAGTTTGTATCTATGTACGTATGTATATTTATGTATTGATAGAGATGACAGCGGAATAGGTTGAGGTCCGGCGGGCGGCTAAGGTGAGGTTGCCGCCCGCTGGGGAAGCGAAAATAGGAGATTCTAAACCAGCTCTGATACCATGTTAAAATTGATGTATTATTGATTGATATTTGTTGTCTATTACAAATGGTGAGGGGCTCCTTATATAGGAGATGTAGTAGGTGGAGTAGGTGATGGTAGGTTAAAATTGATGTATTATTGATTGATATTTGTTGTCTATTACAAATGGTGAGGGGCTCCTTATATAGGAGATGTAGTGGAGTAGGTGGTAGTAGGTGGTGGTAGGTGTAGTAGGTGGAGTAGGTGATGGTAGGTTTTAACAATAGGTCATACAAATTTAGTTTTTGAATTAATTTCAGGACACAGATGCAGCCAAGCAGAATAAACCACTGATTCTTCAACTGTAATTTGTGGAGAATGTATGTCGGTTTGCTCACAGTAACCCGAAATCCTAGAAACGTCTCCTAAACCTTAGGAAACCCTCCAATTCTAATATCTCCTTCAATAGTGCCACTAGTTTTTCTTCCAGCAAGAACATCCATAAGAGTTGTTTCCCTAGCTCCACTGACACCCATCAATCCTGTAAGAACACCAGGCCTAAATGCACCTGTAATAGCACAAAGTTTTTTTCTGAGTGAACCCCCTCTTTCTCTCACTGCCTGAAATCAAAGAAAAATGACAGAATTAACCAATGTAATTTGATCCGATTAGTTCTAAATATTTAACCGGTACATAAGATTTATAAGAGATTTGTTTATATGATTACCGCAGCGGTGTCAACATAGTATTGCACATTTTGAAACATCAGAGTGAGGGGTTCAAAAGGTAAAACCACTCGACGTGTAAAATGAGATTACCCACCCTTATTAAGTGAAACAAGAATAAACTTATAAGACGATAAATAAAGGAAAAGAATCATCTGAAGCAATGGTTCCAATAATTATAAGAGAATAAGAAAAATCTAAAAACACACAACCTTTAAGAGATTTTGTAGTGGTGTTTGTTGGAATATGGAATATTGTATATTTAATTTAGGAATTTAATTTTAGGATTTGATTGTGTAATTATTTAATTCCTTTTTCCCATGTATCTTATATTGATTATATATAGACATAATCTCACCCAAATTAGGATAAGCCAATATTTTACAACTGTCTTCTTGGTATCAAAGCCAAACCCTAGCCACCGACCCAAACCCTAGCCACCCACCACCCTTGTCTTCTGTTGCTGGCAGCCCTAAACCACTTACCTAGCCACCCGACAGCCCTTCTTCTTCCCTCCACCCAGCCGAAAGTTTGTCTCTTCCTTCTCAGCCCCTCGGCAGTCCCTTATCCTACCTTGGGTCTAGTGCGGCTTCCCCTCCTAGATGTTGTTCTTCTCTCCTTACCCTTCTAGGGTTCATGTGCTAATGTGGTAAGCACTCTCTAGTTTGATTTTCTGTTGTGTTGGGCTATCGGTGTGTTCGGTAGCATCTCTTTTGTGTGACACCGCTACTTCGGCTTCATAGTGTTTCAGCATGTCTGACTTTGTTACACAAACTCAGAGCATTATGCCTCGTTCAGATGTTTCCTTGGCCTCCCATGTTCCAGTTCATCAGATTACTAGTGCGTTGCTCACAGGTCGCAACTTTGCGGCTTGGGAGTGTATGAAAACATAAGAATCAGCCGAAACCAACCCTTTTTTTTAGGTAAATAGCTGAAACCAACCTTTAGAAGAAGACGTTACCAATTAGAACCCAAAACACCTTAGTTTGTAAAGTCCAAGCAGGTGCCCCTATGAGCTTTTCCTACATTGTCAGCTATGCAGATTTGCACTTCTATTTATTTTGTAAGATCATGTACTAATCATTAAAAAATAATATATACATATATATATATACGTTTAAGAGACCTTGAGAGATTTGCTTAGTTTTCCAGAAAGTGCTTTCAGTAAAGTAGTCTTTCCACATCCTGGAGGACCAAGAAACAAAGTTGTCCTGCAGCAAAGATAAGCCTACTTGAGTCAACTATTGAAACATGCGAATTTTCCAAGAAAAAAAATGGTGAAATGGAATTTCTTTTCCATGATTTCTTATCCATAAATGAGTATCACAGAAACAAGATTCAAGTGGTGTAAGTGACACAGACAAGGATGGAACCACTGATTAATGCAACCGTTCGAATAATGATAAGGAAAGCTGTCTGTGAAGGTGTGACCATATGCAATGAATCTCAATAGTCAACCACTGAACTTGTGTAGAATAATTTGCCTCAAGCTAATGATACTAATAAAAAATAGGGAGAAAACAATAAGATAAGATAATGCAAATTGGGAATTCCAAAGGATCGGAATAACCCTTTAGTAAAAAAACTTAAGACTGAGCTTCGAACACACCTTCCAGGCTTAATGATACCACTGACATCATCAATGATAGTAATCTTGGCCTCTTGTGACTTCAAACCAGGAAGCTTGGCACAATCCTATTAAGTGAATTGCACCAATTAATCAATTTAGGCACCTAAATAGATAATTGTAGTTCTAATTTATTAAAGCCTGCTTTTGGACATGATAAACCCAAAACATGGATTCTCCAATCATTTGTTTTGCAACAAAATAGCAAGTCAGATAGGACATGAATCAATTTTTTTTTTTGTTTTCCGTGTGTGTGTGGAGTTATACACACATAAATGTTTGACTTATACGATACAAACACAAGAACCACTGAATATTTGGGTGAAGGACTAGATCTTCTAATCTTTAATGGAAACATAAATGTGAATGCAGATTCAGATGCAGATGTGATGTGTTGGATAAGATTGGATGAAATTATAAATTGTTCAGATTAAATCCTACTCATTTGTATCAACCTGCCAACAGATTTGAAGTTAAAAATGACCCAAAATTACAAAATTTTATTAAAAGTAATCTTAACCATAAGAAAAAAATTAATTAACATGAATACAATTGAAATTTAGATGGCAGGTACAGTATGGTTTTATTGGTCTAAATCAACTCATCCATTAAAATCTTAACCTGGACATTACTTGCAGGTATAGAAAACCTACCCAAATGCAAATACCTACACAGGACTAATGATAAGCTATAATTTTACTTCAAGAAAATGAAATACTTACAAAAAGAATGCTCTTGAGAGAATTCCATAGTGTCGGAAGGGGTTTGCCATGAACCACCTCACACTCTGCTTCCACTCACAGATTGTTATATCTCACTTCCACTGTCGACAATTTTACACCAACTTTACAACAACCAATTCAAAGTTTAACCCAATAACCCATCTTTACATCCGTGAAAGGTAACGATCTAACAGTATATCTACACAGGCAATTAGAGATGAAAAGGAGAACCACCATCACAGATCAGGATTGAATAAATTGGTAAGAACAAACAATGGTGATATGGCACTGTAACAAGTTAAAATTTCAGACTACAAACTTCATTGCTTGACACACAGACCTTGTAGCATTAATGCCATTGAATGGTATATAGATGTGAAATACATACAATGTATTGAATGCCTACAAATAAATCACACTTACTTGTCTATTCTTTTTCTCAGTTTATGCAATAAGCGAAGGTTGTCATTCTCAATGTGTTTGATGAGCTTATCAATAAACATATTTCTTTCTAGAGCACCCAGCTTAGTAACATCGACTACCCTTTTTCCTTGAGCATCAACGTTGCTTCCATCATTTTCATCAAACAAAGATGATCTCAAGTTCTCAACTGTTCAAATGTAGGCAGTCTCTCAATTGCAGCCCACTATAAGGCACATTCATCATCAACATCATCCTTCACCGAACTCAAACCTGAAATGCTTCTGAAACTAGAGCTATGGCGCTGAAACGATGACCCCAAATCAAACTTCTTCCTATCTCAGCTAGCTCAACTCTCAGTGACTCTATCTCATCATTACCAACCAATTGAGCCATACTGGATCACCCAGGAGAGACAAAAGTGGGATGGTAAGACAAGATACAAATGTACATGCATATAACTATATATAAACATGGAGTCTTCTCCTGGCTTTAGAGTAAAGATTGATGAGGTAAGACCATGCATAATGCATGTTTCTATGTATTAAAAAGATTGATGAGGTAAGGCCATGCATCATGCTTGTTTCTATGTATTACACGGATTGATGAGGTAAGACAATGAGAGAGAGAGAGAGAGTTTCAGTAGCTTATAGGTTGCAGGCTCATGCCCAGACCCCAAGAAAAAAATTTGATAAAATTATTCCACCAGCACAAGTTACAATGCTAGAGGGAGTTGACTTTCTAGTTAACCAAATGCTAAAATCCATCAATGTTCAAAATTTAAGCATAAAAATTCAAACTTCAATGTCTAGATTTAGTGCATAAATAATTAAACAATATGTTGTGTTAACTACACCATGATTTGCGCTTTCTTAAATATGTTGTTCTCTTTATTAATAAATTATTGTTTATTTTTTGGGTTCATGCATGTTGCAGGCAGGGAGGGTAATTAAGTATGCAAACTTCTATAATTCTTGGAGCATCCCTATCAAGATTATATTCATCAATTTTTACAACAACACAGTATATTCTATATTTCGTCCTCTAAATATAAGCATTAACACTAGCCAGACAAAAATATCCTTAAAGTAAAAAGTCATGAAAGCAGCCATCCAATCTATGTACTTCCAAAAAAGATTTAATTGGTCAACCAGGATTATAATATAAGCAAGAGCGAGTTTTTAAATATGAACTAGTCATACATATATACACATATTACCTGCATGTACACAGCCATGAGATATGGAAAAGTGATGACCTTACCAAAATCACTTGATTGGCAAGATAAAGTATAATAGAGTAGACCACACCAGTCATTGAAAATAATAATAATAATAATAATAATAATAATAATAATAATAATAATAATAATAAAAGCATTGTTCTCAAGCATAGTGAGATCCATATTTAGCATTAAGAGTTGAACTGTAAACCAATTTAAATATTGATGAGGGGATTTATTTAATAGGCAGTTAACACTCTCTATGTTACATCATTCAAGGGTACCGCATTGAGGTGGCAATGCTGTCATTTTTTTTTCCTTGACAAGTTTATCGTTAGACTTACTAAGGTTCTCTTGCCCTCGGTGGAAAACACCCTTTGTA